TTTTTATATCTGTAAATTATACTAAAATACAAGAAGTTTTTTTAAAAACATTTTTATTTGTATTAAACTTAAATTAAAGACCCTAGCTTATACAGGATCATTAATGATGTTACAGGATAAAATTCTTAATTATTTTTATAATCAAGATGTGAGCAACGAATAGGAATATTTATTTAATTCTACTGAAATGTGTTTTTTTACTAAATTTTCATCAAAATAATCTACTTTATCGTAAATTGAAAATTTTAATTATGTACATTAAGCGTTAAATCATGTATAAAATTGAAAATTTGATTTTGTAAATTGCATTGTAAACAGTGCCAAATTTAAATTTGATGTGGCCATAAGCTATAACATACAGTCTTTGCTTCTCTATCAGATAACAAAAATTTTAAAGTATGAGATCTTAAACTGTAACGTACAAGAGACCATCCCTCGTCTATCCAAAAATAAAAAAATTAAAAGCTGTAGCTTCAAATTGTGAGGTTTGTTTAGCATTCATGTAAATCTGGCTGAAATTTAAAGGCATCGTGTACAGTACATATAAAACAGTGTAAAATAAAATTGTAAGTTAAAGAAAGGAAACATAAAACATTTATATTTTTGATATTTTTGGCATAAATTTATTATAATAAAAATATTTTAGACATTTATAAGTACTCAAAAATTATACAGATAATTGTATTTATAAATATCTACATCCTCAGAACAATATGAATTGTGTAAATTGAATGATAAATCATGTATAAGAAATGGAAATTTTAGTTATAAAATTGTATTTTTAGATATTTTAAACAGATCAAATGTATTTAAAATTTAATGCTAGGAATTTATAAATGATCGAAAGTATATATATATATATTTCATTTCCTTCAATATTTCGAACATATTTTAATTTTTAATAAAGTATTTATTAAAGTGTATCTTCGATTTTTACAAATATTAATATAATTTGATTAAAATTTTCTACGTAAAGACCATGTAAAACACGTGAAACCATGCAAAAAATACATTCTTTAAATGTATTCGCAATCATTTAAATTTATTCTTTATGACTAAAAAATTACATTGCAGAAGAAGTCATTTAAAATCAGAAAATTACATGTAGAAAACAATGAATACATTTATATTATAGCTCATAATCGTAACTTAAATCTTCAAACATTCATAGGCATCGATAAACAGTTAACGAGCAAGAAATCATTTAATCTAAACAGTCGCTCCATATACAAATTATTACTTCTTAACTAGAAATATAATAATAAAAAAAAACATATATTTGTAGAGGAAAAAAATTTAAAATTTAAGTAATTTAACTAAAACAAAAGCATATATAAATATCCTGAACTCCATTAAGATAAATGTAGAAAGATAATTTTTGAAGAGTCATTAAATTCTCCCCTCTACAAAATCTTATTATAAAGGTTCCAATATATTACCCAATTCCATTAAATGATTTCTTTATACAGTAAAAATCATTAACAGATATATAACAAAAGGGAAAAAATATATGAGAATTATTAAATTTCTTACGTTAAAAAAGTGATGAAGAAGCTCATAAAATAATATATATATATATTTTTTTTAAAAAAAGAAGAGAAATACTCAAATTCATTTTGGAAATATAACATCTGGATAGAAAGATTGTTTTTATTTTATTTTATTTTATTTTTTTAGGTGCATTTTTCTTCAGGTAAGTGTAAGTTGATAGAAGACATTTTTCATCATTTTCTTTTTCTCTTTCTTATTTTTTTATTTTATGTCTGTAAGCCGCTATACTTAGCACGTTTTACTAGAAGATTCGACTAATGTAAGGTTGTACAGTCGTCTACTATTGTTAATGTATTACAATACCCGATGGGATAGAGTCTACGACTCTATCGAGAGAAACGGATGTCGCTGAATGTACCAATAAATAGAGTAGACAGTAAATTGTTGCTTGTCACGACTACAGTCGAATGCAAGAGCAATGAAACAATACCAATCTTTCATGGAGATTAGCCTTTAATTTAGAATTCGAGTGATAATACCTTTTGCCTACAGATTAACTTAATGTTTGATTGACTGTTCGTGATGTTGATCAAGTTTATATATCAAATTCTACAAACGACAGAGTAAAATTACATTCATAAAAGCTAAATAAATGTAATTTGTAATAATTAATTCTATCATATAATTTTTTAATCCTTATAAAACTTTAAGTATATATAATCGTATAAATCAAACTTAATCTTAAATTTAATTTATAAGATTAAAATCGGTATTAAATTTTATTTTATTAATACGTTAATTACTAATATTAAATGTTATTTTTAATTATAGTTTAAATTTAATTTAGTTAGATATTTTTTTATTACTAATTAATTAAGATTTAAATTTATTATTTGAAAATTTACTACAGCTTCATGAGAACGACAATATTTCTGTTGGTTTCCTTAATTTAAAAATTAATAAAAATATATATATATTTGTTAAATTACATAACAATTATATAATTGTAATTAAAAACACTAAATACTGTAGAGTGTATTTATTTAATTTAATAGTTAAAACCTTTTTTTTTAATTAACGTCAATAAAAATAGTACTTTTCAATACTAAAACTGTAAATTATAATTTTAATTTGTCGTTTACGTAATAATTACAAAAAGTTTTCATAATTAACAACATTAAAATCTGCAGTTTTTAAATAGCAAAATTTTAAATTACAATTTTAATCGTTAATCTACGTAATAATTAACCTTTTTGTAATTTACAACATTAAAAATTGTACTTTTCAATATAAAAATTTCAAATTACAATTTTAGTTGTGAATCTACGTAATAATAAAAACATTTTGCAATTTACAACACTAAAAAATTGTAATTTTCAATAGTAAAATTGTAAATTACAAGATTTTCTATTTGTTTTATGTGTCATAGAGTTTATATATTGCTATAATTTCAAAACTGATATTCAAAGAAAAGTATTTTTCTCCTATATATATAGTATATTATATTGAAAGAATTTTTCATGACTAAGAAGAATGTTTGGTTTCTCAAAACTCAATAGCAATTTTGTCTCCTATTGATAGTTACTACTACTAAAGTTTTGCAGTAGTATTTTTTTTTATTTTAGTGAACAAGCACAATACTTTTGATGAAAGAAATTCGGCCCCTCATATATATATATAGGTATTTTTTTTCATATAGTTTTGGTTTACACAATGTGCTTTGGGTTATAAACCAAAGTAGAATTATAAGTCCGTTGTGTTTGTTTTATGAAAGGGAGATCAATATATTTTCTCGAATTAAATTTTGTTTTATGCAGACGTGTAAATAAATAAATTCATGTAAATAATATATAAAAACTATAAGAAGATATCTTGTTTATTTTTTTTATAATTATAAATCTATTAGAAAATTGTAAATTTTTATTTCATTTTTTTAAAATGTAAATATATTAAAGTGTGTGTAGGAATTTTTTTTTATAAGATTATAGATTAATTTTTCCAAAAAATTAAGCCAAAAATACAACTTAAATTCATATATAAAATTATAAAAAGTATATTTCTTTATTAATTTTTACACTTAATATTTACTAAAGTGTGTGTATTTATATACAGTATATATATTTAAGTACATAGTACTTAATGTGCTATAACGTAACATAACATTCATTTTTAGCTTTAAACGTAACAATCATCGAGGAAAAAATTAATTTTACATTTTAAAATATAATTTTAAAGCTGAGACACTCGAATTTTTGTTACAATTAATATATAATATCAAAAATAATCTTATAAAATATACTTATATATTTAAAAATAAAATTTTTAAGATAAAATAAAATGAAAAATATCCTTTTTGTCCATGAAATAATAATTATTTTTCTAGTAAAATTTCTATCAAATTTCATTCACTTTATAATACTGTACAGCTGAAGGCTACTAAAATTTTCAGATAGCTAATGTTAGCAGGAAAACACATCATGAAATTAAAAATACAGTTAAAATTTTTAATAATGTTTAAACAACATCCTACTAGACTAAACAAATCGTTTCAAAAATGAAGGGAAAAAAATCTTTAAGTTAAAGAAAACAAAATGGTTGCTATTAATTTTATAGAAGAGAGAGAGAGAGAGATGATGATGATGATGTTTTTTCTTATTTTATTTACTTTACTACTCTCATAGTTTATAGATAGATTACTAAATTTGCTTTTATAAGGCTATAAAAACAAAAATTTAGATAATTTAACAGTAAGAGAATTAATCTGTATAATTTAATTATTTTTAATGTAATTAGTGCTTTTTTTAAAATGATTTTTAACTCGTAATGTTGTTAAATGGTTAGGTTTCATGAGTGAGTTTCATGTTATTTACTTAGAAAATCAACAAATACATACATTATTAAAATTTCAAATGCTGTTATTTTGTGTGGAATTGTTATAAAGAATAAAATTGCATCTAACTTATCCAAATGTATTGACACATTGCAGACAGTAAACAACTTTTGTAGCTTTGTTCTGTTTGATTTATGAGAAAAAAATGCATTGTTATACTAGAAAAATAGAGGAGGAAAAAACATTAGAAATCTAAAAAATTCACTCATATAAATTATAAAGTTCTGAATTTATATACAAACGTAAAATTAATTATTTGTCCAGTTATTTATATATTAATCTTTATACATTTTTTTAAAACGATTTATCGATAAAAAAAACAATCGGAATGCACTGTACGTTATATAATTCTTATTTGTTTCTTCAGACATCCATATTGATTCCAATTATTGATTAGTGATATTCCATGTCTATTAACCGTCCATGTGAAAGAACATATGTTGTATATTTTGTTAAATTATTATGGGAAACAGTAATAAAACTGATCGATAAATCTGTACTTTTTTAAAAAATAAATAAATATTTACCCTTTATTAGTTAAAATTTTCAATCAATTCTTTGTTATATGAACTGCAGGAACACGCAAAAATATCGATACATTTTTCAATAAGCGAAAGAATAGGTATAGATTACTACGGAGGGTGATGGAATATGTGTAAGACTGTATAGAAAACTGTACTTCTGGATATGTTTATGGAGAATTTCTCATCTTGCACATGTGATATTCTGAAGAGAAATCTAGGCAAAGAAGCAAGAAAAGCAAGTTTTGTTGAGACACCTTCCCTATCATCATTTCTCTAATCATTTCTCCAATCGTGTGCCAAACACCACCTGCCAAGTCCGGACGTCTCACCTTAGCAGCCCTCTGGTGGAAGGATGAAGAGATGTCGTGGATCGATACATGCTGGGTTGCAAGTAGCAGCCAGTTGGAAGCGACCGAGTTACAGGACGTACCACGTATCGCCGTGTTCCACTTGGTATACCAACTGTCTTCCAGAGCCGCGATACAGGTGTGGCAGTGTGTGTTTTTCGACGACAATGTGACGATATGTGGTGGTGTGGCAATGTTGTGTATCTACGAAATGCCGAAGTGTAATTCGCTTATGTAATAGGATGGCATCGAATATTAATTGGCAATCATCCATGGCTCATGCCCTATACATCAGTCCACTTATATGGAGCATATGGGTTCTATTTGTGTCCGCTCGTGTCCCTGCAGGCCCTGCTACAAATGAACAGCCATGGGGTAAGTAATTGTTAAGTACGTTGCTACACTTTTCTTAGCTCTTTCTGCCCGAGGATATTGGTCCTTTGCCATGATTGATTTTAGATTTGCACAATACGACGACAGGATCTTAACAGGTGGTGTCGTAAAATTCGAGATATTCGTTTATGGTACATTGTTATCAGATGAGCTTATTTTGGGTTATCAACGAAAGGTTAAAGCTTCTTTTTTCAGTTCATTAACCCAATCGTTCTGCTCCTACAAGGAATTACAATAGATTTAACCACGTACTTAAAGAGTTCTTCACTAAATTCCATCCAAAGAAATGAAATAAGAAAGAAAGTAAAAGTACTTGCGAAAATCGAAAATTTTTCTCATTCCTGTAAAGAGAATTTCTTAGAAATGCGTATAATGAACATTTTTTAAAGAGGTTATCTTCGTGTTATTTCATCAAAATCATCAGGTTCCATTTGGTATAAGAAGAATTTTAAGAAAATCGTTCACACTTTGATTAGTGCTATTGACAGTAAGCTTGGATAACTCGCAAGGGAATTAATGTATTTGGAAAATGGCGAGACTGCTGCATCCAGTACAAGTATTTAATTTCCGGCTTCGTAAAGTCTTAGCTTCGTTTCATCCCTGAACAACCTACTAATCACAGTTCAAAGTTCAAACGTTTATTTATGCAACTTAAAACTTTAAATTCTTTATTTTTGGCTTTTATTTTTAAAAAAATATAATAATAAAATTAATATTGTTACGCTTTATAATTTTATACATTTTATCAATTTCAAATGATCAATTTGCATTTTATTTCTTAAGCAAATGTCATCTTTACATATTAAAAAAATGCTTTAAGATTGAATTAATTGAAAATTATCAGTTTAAGGATTACAAAGTAATAATTCTTTTTAAATTAATAATTTAAAAAATTTATTAAATAAATTCAAAAATAATACAGAAAATTCATTGTTTAAATTAGAAAAAATAAAATAAAATAAAATAAAATAAAAGAAGGAAAAAATAAATTTACAAAAGCAAAATTTATTCTGGCACAGATTCATTTTTATTAAACAAAACTTTTTATGAACTTTTTAAAATTTATTTTCTTTTGTATATTTTAAATTTCCAAAATTTATATATTCACATAACAATTTAGAAAAATATAACTTGTTTTCTAAATAAAAACAAATAATAATAATAATAAATAAAAATTAAATTTTATATACTATTTCTGTTGCTTTTCCATGCAAAAAAAATGTGCTTAATTTTTTTTATTAATTTTGTTTATTAGGAACCAATTACTAAAATGGTAATTATTCATGAAACAGTCTTATTTTTTATGAACATAAAATCGAGCCTATTTCATAGTAATCCTAGTTTAATTTCTTATTTTATAAATCTTTGACGTAGGTGTACTTTACTTACTCTTAATAAGAGATTAATGAAACTACAGAAGAAAAGGAACCGTAAAATCCCAAGGGAAGTGACTTAGATAGTAGTCTGTGTTTCATCAAGGAAAGAGGCTTTTATTTTGACTCTTTTTATTACCATCATTCCACAAAGATCAGTAGATCCATAAACGTTGGTTATAGAGTGATTTTAGCGAATGTTTTTATCTAGTAACCAATAAGTGATCCTAACCGTTCATTTCTCCCTTATAATGTCATAAGCATGCAACTTTCGTATATGAATGTTCATTACAAGAACATTACACGAATATCCATTTGTTCTGATAGAATATAAGTTGAAAAATATAAAATATATATAATGACTAATATAAAATATATATATATATTCCCAATAAACCCATACATAAAGGCAAAAATTTAGATAAAAAATAAAGTATATTTGTAAAGAAAACAAGAAAAAGAACATAAATTATACACTTATTTGATTAATAAATTTTAAAATTTATTTACCTTAATAGTTGAAAATTAATGTATAAACTCATTAGATAAAGTTTAAAGTTTTAAATGAGTTTACAAATTACCACATTATTACACATAAAATCTAAAAAGGAACAATAGAATATTCATATTTAATAACTTTTCATAATATGTTTCTTTATGTTTACGATGACTATATGAGAATAAGAGCAGAATATTAATTGCATTATAGCTATATCTCCTTATAATGAAAATATTCCCAGCTGTGCTATACTCGAGAGAAAATCTATATAAACCATTAGATATATATCACATTGCTAGAATAATATAATGTGTACCTATATCACTACAAAATTACTAGACCTACAAAGGGTTTCATATCTATAAATCATAGAGAATATTTTCATGGATACAATCAACGAACAAACATGCAATAGAGATTGATTGAAGACAGTTGATACATAACAATCATGTTAATATATATATACGTGTGTATGACTTAAATATTTATCTGTATAATTATACAAATAATATTTGTTCTAACAGAAATTTGTAATATTTTTTCATATATTTATCGCGATTTATTTTTATTGCACACTTTTTTTTTCAGTAGGATTTTCGAGAATTTTTTCCGATTTTCTCTAAGCAGATTTGATAGTGATTTGTTGTCGTCATGTCTAGTAGAATGGATGCTATATTGTTATTGCTCGCCATCTACATGATATCAATAAGATCAACAATAATATCGATGTTAGATTTAGATTTATTTACATTTGAAAGAAAGGTAGATATATATACGACGTTTAAAAAGTATTTTCTGTACACTGTCAACAAGTAAAAATGCTAAAAATACAAATCAATTTTTATGATTTTAGTACATGTTTAGGCAACGTAAAAATATTTATTAGTAACTAATCGATCATAACAACGATATTATGGATAATGAGCCACTTAAAGAGTATTACTTCAATACAAAATTCATGTTGTACGTTGTATAATGAGAGCTACATACACGAAACGAATGTACTGTACTGTACGTAATGCGCTTTACAAGGGCTCTTTTTTTTAATACCTATCTTCGAAGTAAAGCTTTTTACTACAATTACATTTAATCACGTAAATTGTAAAAACTGTAAGGAAGCGACAGACTTACTACGTACAATGATTAAAAGTAAAAGGAAACCGTCTTTTACTCTTGAAGAAATTTGATTTTCTTACAAAGATTGTATTAAGTTTTGCTCATATAAGAGGATGTTAGAGATTTATAAGAAATCAAAAATGTAGTAAATTTATTTATCGTATCTTAAAAAGAAATGTGGATTGCCAATCTATTAGATAAATTGTCAAAGTAAAGAATAAATAACAATGTTCTGTTGAATCCTGTTGATTTAATATAAAGAAAATATTATATTATTGTACAGTTTTTGATATACTTTTTATAAAATTATATTTCTAAAATTTAAGCAAAGTTCTATACAAAATAATAGATTTTATTGGATAATATTTCTTTTAAAAAAACTTTAAAATTATACTCTCGAANTTATATTTCTAAAATTTAAGCAAAGTTCTATACAAAATAATAGATTTTATTGGATAATATTTCTTTTAAAAAAAATAATAATAATCTTCTACTGTATCAAATAAGGTGCATAACAAGTCATGGTTTATTTAATAATTTTATTTCCTGTAATGTTCTTAAGTTATGCTTAGGAAAAATTTTTTTTTAAATTCTTATTCGCGTATTTATTATTTGTAATTATTTTTTATACGATTAGATTAAAAAGAAAATCTCGTAGAGTTATAAAAGTTTCAAAGTTTTATTATTATTATTGTTTAACTAGTTTTTTTTATGAGAAAAAATAATGGTTAAAGTTCAAAAATTGTACGTTTATTGAAGAACTGATCAAATAGCGTACTTGATAAGAAGAAAGGAAGCTGTATAAAATGATTACGGAACCTGAAAAGTAATCATATTGGATAACTTCTTCACATTCCTCTAAGACAATCTGAGCTATTATTTTCGAAATCTAGTGAAGGATGCTCCTGTTTCCAGATAAACGCATCTTCTCTTGATACGTGGCCACCTGAGATATCGTAATGTTAGCTGGTGCAACGTTGTCAACCTTTACTCGATTTCTCATCTTAGCTGGCCAATTACTCGACATCATTGCACCTCTACATGTTCAATCATATAGGAGAACGTCGTTGAAATGGTCTTGTTTTTCCTCTTATTTACCATCTTCTTCAGTAGAGATGGCGTAAAGCACCTGTGTGCTACCTGTGTGTCCCTAACGGAATTAGTTTGTTCTATGGTTTGTAGAAGACATTAGTCAACTGAAGGTGTGCAGTATTTGTGAGTAGAAGGTATAGAACAGATGGGAAAAATGAAGGCGTTCACTGAAGCAGAAAGGAAGGGATTTTACGACCGCTGCACCGTAGCTGTTTTCTAGACTGTCCTTTTTTATTTTATTTTTTACTTTTTTCCCACTGGGAGTTTCTAAAACCATACTGGAACCTGTTTCTAATGAGACGAAGGATGTATGAAGGGTAAAGTGAAGGATTAGATAGCTGGAAGTATTTTCTTTCAAGAAAAAAAAACAGAGAGTTGTGTAATAGAACAGAAACTAAGCTAGAAACTAAGAAAAAAAATGCTATTTAGAATTATAACAAAAATTCTCATCTTGTCAATTGTCTTAAAATTTTATAGTTACAGAAATAATAAAATTTACAAGATAAAAACAAAACTATTACAACTTTATATAATCTCTTATATTTATATTGAAACGAAAATTTTGTTAGCTCTAGTTTAAAAAAAAATTCCAGAAAGTACAATACCTCTACTACTGAATATATTTATATTGAATTTCCAAATATTTGTTGTACGAATTGAATTTTGTGATTTATTTTGTCTCATTCCTTTCTTGGCACATTCAAACATTAGTACTAGAACCAGGTAATTAATGAGAACGACGAAAAAACCTCAACAAAGACTGATGTAATGAACTGGAAGACCAGTACAACGCAAACCAAGCCCTTGGAGGGATAAGGAGCTTCAATGTGCCGGAAGTAGGAAGTTACGTGCTAATTAAGATGTGGAATGTGTTAAATATCCTAATAGCTATAGAACGATTT